TTATAAGCACAGCAATGCGCACACGGCAGTAGGCTATAAGCACAAATGTTCCATTAACAGGAAGACACCATTCTAAGAAGTGACCACAAATTTGATAATGCATGTAATGCTTTTATTATAAAGGAGCATATTTATGGTGAAAATGATCTTCCCCAAACGTGAAACTCACGCGCTGCATATGTATGCCGTTGTAAAGCGGGTTAATGTCCTTCATTTTAAGAAGTTATTTGGCCACTTTAGTTGTGATACAAACTTTATCAATACTTATAGACCTATGGGCTAGGCTACATGAGGTGTGCGACTATGATTTGAAAAAGTCGGGGAAAAAGCATGCACTGTTTGCCTTAAGCTGGGCATTATTCACAACTGATAATATATCATTCACAAGTGATAGGCTAATATTGTCACCCATCACACTATTCTTGAATGAATCTTGTCTTTACATATACTAAATAATATATGTGTGAAATTTGTTTTGATTTAGAATGGACAATTATCATGAACCGGTCAGGAGGTCAGTGTGATGCAGTAGGACGAAGTCAGGCGCAAGACACAGAGCTAATCGAAAACGTACTTTACTCGTAGGTAACGTACATTACATAACCTCCACGCAGGGAGGAACAAACCCGCTCACCAGACGACAACCAAACATGAACAAACACGCACAAAACACAGTGGGAGCCAGAGGGTTAAATAGGGAAGAAATCAATACATAATGGGAACCAGGTGTGAACAATAAAGACAAAAAAAGTAGAACACAGAAACATAGATCGGTAGCAGCTAGTACTCCAGCGACGATGAAAGTCGAAGCCTGCCCGAGCAAGGAGGAGGAGCAGCCTCGGCTGAATCCGTGACAGTACCCCCCCCCCTTGACGCGCGGCTTCAGCCGTGTGCCGACACCGGCCTCGGGGACGGCCAGGAGGACGCGTCGCAGGGCGATTTGGATGACGATGGTGGAAATCCCTTAACATGGAGGGATCAAGGATGTCCCTCATAGGGACCCAGCACCGTTCCTCTGGACCGTACCCCTCCCACTCCACGAGATACTGCAGGCCCCCCACCCGACGCCTCGAATCCAGGATGGAACGGACCGAGTACGCCGGTTCCCCCTTGATGTCCAGTGGGGGCGGAGGAACCTCCCGTACCTCCGACTCCTGGAGTGGACCAGCTACCACCGGCCTGAGGAGAGACACATGGAACGAGGGGTTAATACGATACTTAGGAGGAAGCTGTAACCTATAACAAACCTCGTTCAATCTCCTCAGGACTTTAAATGGCCCCACAAACCGCCGACCCAGCTTCCGGCAGGGCAGGCGAAGGGGCAGGTTTCGGGTCGAGAGCCAGACCCGGTCCCCCAGTGCATACACCGGAGCCTCACTGCGGTGGCGGTCAGCGCTCGCCTTCTGTTGCCTGATGGCCCGTTGCAGGCGTACATGGGCAGCGTTCCAGGTCTCTTCCGAGCGCCGAAACCACTCCTCCACCGCAGGTGCCTCGATCTGGCTCTGATGCCAAGGTGCCAGGACCGGCTGATAACCTAACACACACTAAAATGGAGAAAGGTTAGTAGAGGAGTGGCGGAGGGAGTTTTGGGCCAGCTCTGCCCAGGGGATAAAACCTGACCACTCCCCCGGCCGGTCCTGGAAATAGGACCGCAGAAACCTACCCACATCCTGGTTCACTCTCTCCACCTGCCCATTACTCTCGGGGTGAAAACCTGAGGTCAGGCTGACTGAGATCCCCAGACGTTCCATGAACGCCCTCCAGACCCTTGAGGTGAACTGGGGACCCCGATCAGATACAATATCCTCAGGTACCCCGTAGTGCCGGAAGACGTGTGTAAATAGGGCCTCCGCAGTCTGTAGGGCCGTAGGGAGACCGGGCATAGGAATGAGACGGCAGGACTTAGAAAACCGATCCACAACGACCAGGATTGTGGTGTTCCCTTGTGACGGGGGAAGGTCCGTAACAAAATCCACCGATAGGTGGGACCCCGGCCATTGTGGAACGGGTAGGGGTTGTGATTTCCCTCTGGGCAGGTGTCTAGGTGCCTTACACTGAGCGCACACCGAGCAGGAGGAAACATAAACCCTCACGTCCTTGGCTAAAGTGGGCCACCAGTATTTCCCACTAAGACAGTGCACTGTCCGACCGATGCCAGGATGACCAGAGGAGGGTGACGTGTGAGCCCAATAGATCAATCGATCGTGGACCTCTAACGGCACGTACATGCGACCCTCTGGACACTGGGGGGGAGTGGGCTCTGTACGTAATGCCCGCTCGATGTCCGCATCAACCTCCCACACCACCGGTGCAACCAGACACGACGCCGGAAGTATGGGAGTGGGCTCAATGGACCTCTCCTCTGTGTCATACAGTCGGGACAGGGCGTCTGCCTTAGCATTCTGGGAACCTGGTCTGTAAGAAAGGGTGAACACAAAACGAGTGAAAAACATGGCCCACCTTGCCTGGCGAGGGTTCAATCTCCTCGCCGCCCGGATGTACTCCAGATTGCGGTGGTCAGTCAAAATGAGAAAAGGGTGTTTAGCCCCCTCAAGCCAATGCCTCCACACTTTCAGAGCTTTCACCACAGCTAACAGCTCCCGGTCCCCCACATCATAGTTGCGCTCTGCCGGGCTGAGCTTCTTCGAAAAGAAAGTACAGGGGCGGAGTTTAGTTTTGGTGGTGTACCCGAGCGCTGAGACAGTACAGCTCCTATCCCAGCCTCGGATGCGTCCACCTCTACTGTGAATGCTAAAGAGGGATACGGATGAGCCAGCACTGGAGCCGAGGTAAACAGGTCCTTCAGGTGACCAAACGCCCTGTCCGCCTCGGCTGACCACTGCAGTCGCACCGGTCCCCCCCTCAGCAAGGAGGTAATGGGAGCCGCTACCTGACCAAAGCCCCGGATAAACCTCCGGTAGTAGTTGGCAAACCCTAAGAATCATGCACCTCCTTAACCGTGGTTGGAGTCGGCCAATTACGCACGGCCGAAATGCGGTCAATCTCCATCTCCACCCCTGACGCGGACAGGAGCTCTACCTGGCTCCCCACTCGGCGTTGGCCCACTCGAGCGCTCTCCCCGACAGACAGGAGATGAGGGCGGACATGCTCTCGTATCCCTAGGGAGCCAGGTGGATGGTAGCCAGGTAGAGCTCTACCTGGAGCAGAAAACCCTGGCACCTGGCAGCTGTACCATCATATGCCCTCGGGAGCGAGAGCCGAATCCCATTGGACCCAGGTGACGAAGGGGTGGACAGCGGTGTGGGTGGTTGTGTAGTTGGAGGAGGTGTAGGATAACCACCTCTCTCCCACCGAGGAGCAGCCTCGGCTGAATCCGTGACAGAACCTGTCTCGAAACATCTATGCACTTAAATAGCTAATGGAGGACACTTTTCCCGTGGTTCATTTTCATGCCAGCCAGGTAGGCTATACTCCTATTGTAAAGAGAAGCAATGTGCTTAATATTAGGAAAGTTTAGAAATAAATAAATATAGTAGGCCTAGCTGATGGGATCCTCCTCTTTTTAATAGAGAACATCAATCTGTTTTCTCACGCAATTGCATAGTCTATAGCAATTGCATAGCCTATAGCAATTGCATAGCCCTGGGTTTCCCAAACTCGGTCCTGGGGTCTCCCCTGGGTGCACATTTTGGTTTTTGCCCTAGCACTACACAGCTGATTCAAATAATCAACTCATCATCAATCTTTGATTATTTGAATCAGCTGTGTAGTACTAGGGCAAAAGCCAAAACGTGAACCCAGGGGGGGCCCCAGTACCGAGTTTGGGAAACCCTGGCCATAGCCTATAGAGATGTTGCTCAACATGAGCTCAGTGTTTGATTAGATTTTCAAACACATTTGCATTGATGTCAGAGTGATTAGAGGGACAATAGAGTGCTAAGTACCTGGCAGTTAGCATATTTGATAGGCTACTAATGACTAACAGCAGCATCAGAGCTTGGAGAAGCCTAAATACCGTGACTAAACGGTCATGTGGAATTTGACTAATTCTGTCACCGTAACAGCCCTAGTCGCACCATTCTTGGTAAACCCTACTGTCGTGCGTGAAAAGCCCAGGAGGCCGGCCATTTCGGAGATACTGGAACCGGCGCGACGTTCATACCATGCTCAAAGTCGCTTAGGTCACTCGCTTTGCCCATCTAATGTTCAATCGAAGAGTAACTGAATGCCTCAATGCCTGTCTGCCTGCTTTATATAGCAAGCCACGGCCACGTGACTGTAGGAGTGAACCATTTTCATGAACGGTGTGTACCTAATAAACTGAGTTTATATCTTTCTATTATGTGTGGGAATACTTTGGAACAGATTTCCAAAATTAAAATAAATTGGAGTTGATTTGCTCGTGTTTTTACAGTGTTTTTATTTCTAACAATTAATAAGAAAGAGGAAGATGTTTTTTTAGCTCAGATAACTTGGGGGGGCCAAATAAAATCACCCGTGGGCCAAATTCGGCAAGTGAACCATGTCTTAATGCCTTGGCTTCAAATACAAGAGCCTCACGGAGTGGACAGACAGGGCCAAGAACACGGCATGGAGCAAAGGCAGGTACCACGTTTGGGGCAGAGCACATCTGCACTGTGTGTGTGTGAGCTGATGAGAACCAGTCGTTCCTGATCATTCCCAATCCCAATGACTGGAACAGATGTATGTTCCACAGAACCCCTGAGGGTACGGGTACCAGAGGGAGGGAGGGAGAGAAAGAAAAAGAGATGAAATAGAACGAGTGGTGAAAGAGATGGGTTAAGACTCTTTGTCCTCTCTCTGTGGTAGCCCCACAATTCAGATGATACAGAGGGCACATGGAACTATCCCTAAATCATGTACAGTAAGGTTACATGTTTCCATGCAATAATATTGTTATGTTTTACTCTCCTCTTTATCTCTCCATTTCTTTCTTTCTTTCTTTCTTTCATTCTCTCTCTCTCTCTCTCTCTCTCTCTCTCTCTCTCTCTCTCTCTCTCTCTCTCTCCCTCTCTCCCTCAGAGAACAGCAGTGCTGATCAGAAGCAGGCGTGCAAGAAACACGAGCTCTATGTCAGCTTCAGAGACCTGGGGTGGCAGGTACCGTGAGCACTCCACACATTCCTCTATCTCTCCCCCTTTCTCCTTTTCTTTTATCCTCTCTCCCCCTTAATATCTATCCCTTTTTCTCACTCGCTCCCACACTTATCTCTTCCTCACCACTCCTATTTTCTCCCTCTTTAACACTCTGTCCCCGCTGTTTCCCTCCCTGTCCTCACTAATGTATTTTCTTAGCAGAGACCTAAATCCAAAGTGATCTACAGTTCTAACTGTTGTCCATGATATCCATTACAACAGCTGGGTAAACAGTGTGATATGCTAAGGAAAGGGGCAGATTTATCGCCCTACTAGGGCTCCACAGTTCACAAGGAGTTCTGAGTTTAGAACCAGGAAGCTTGTTGTTACTAATGAGACTACCGTGACTACTGTGGCATGCATCACATGCTGATCACACAATCACATGAAGGATAACTGTGTGACTCTCTTTCTCTCTTTATCCACCTTCTCTCTATCCCTCTTTCCCTTTGTCTCACCCCCCCCTCTCTCTCTCTCTCGCTCTCTCTTTCTCTCTCTCTCTCTCTCTCTCTCTCTCTCTCTCTCTCTCTCTCTCTCTCTCTCTCTCTCTCTCTCTCTCTCTCTCAATTCAATTCAATTCAATTTCAATTCTCTCTCTCTCTCTCTCTCTCTCTCTCTCTCTCTCTCTCTCTCTCTCTCTCTCTCTCTCTCTCTCTTTCTCTCTTTCTCAGGACTGGATCATAGCTCCAGAGGGCTATGCAGCTTACTACTGTGAAGGAGAGTGTGCCTTCCCTCTCAACTCTTACATGAACGCCACTAACCACGCCATCGTGCAGACACTAGTGAGTACCCTCCAAGAATATTATCATGAATTCAGTCAATATACTAGAGAGCATCAACACAAAGACAAATGCATTGACATGTTATCAGTTCAGAGTCTCCCTTACTCCAACCCCCACCTGTCTCCCCCCCCCCCCCCCCCCCCCGTGCAGGTCCACCTGATAAACCCAGACACTATTCCTAAGCCCTGCTGTGCCCCCACCCAGCTCCATGCCATCTCAGTGCTCTACTTTGACGACAGCTCCAATGTTATCCTCAAGAAGTACCGCAACATGGTGGTCAGAGCCTGTGGCTGCCATTAGACTACAGCCAACCTCTCAACCCTCACAACACACACACATTCCTGCATCTAAATATCCCTTCAACGCACGTCATTTTCATCTAGAGACTTTCTTCCCCAGATTCACTTGAATGGACACATGAATGGACTACACGTCCCAGAGTGCCTTGCTGTGCTGCTGGATGGGAGCTACATGAGGACTGGCAGACAATCATGATTATTCAGTCCAACCTGGAACACACACACACACACGGTCAAATACACACACACACACACACACACTTTCTGTGCTTTCTACTGTGTATGAGACATTTTAAGCAGTGATTGTATAGTAATACACAGTCAACAATCTTTTGTTCATGTCAATGTGTTTTCTGTGTAGTTCAAGGTGTTTTTTTTAGATCTATTATGTTTTTGTATGCTTTTTATGACTGAAAGACAAGGCTATAGGAAGTGTGGATGCTCTATGGACTCTTCATGTACAATAATGTGTAAATAGTTTTTCAAACAAAGAGAAGTGTATTTATTTCCTATTGTTGGGAATGTTAAGGGTAGGTTCAATGTTTCTTCTGTGTACTCCAGTGTCTACATGTACTGTATGTTATGCAACTCTTTACATTGTGTCCCACTCATCATACAGTATAGCACAAACACTCTCTCGCTCGCTCGCTCTCTCTCTCCCGATCTTCCGCTCTCTCTCTCTCTCTCTCTCTCTCTCTCTCTCTCTCTCTCTCTCGCTCTCTCTCTCGCTCTCTCTCTCTCTTTCAGTTATTTGCCCTGCACAGTAACGGTGTTAAATCTATCATCAGTTTGGACCTATCACTACAGTCTTGTCATGGGAAACAACTCTGTCCTTTCCTCTCCATATCCCAAATATTGTCTTAATTGTGCTCTGATGTCATATGCACACTGGTGTATTGGACTCAAATAGCAAATAAAAAATGAATAGTTATCTTCAGAAAAAAACAAAAAACATTTGCATTCATATAGCTCTGTTTATAAGGTGGCTTAAAAAAGTGGCACACAAGTCATGGAGAAGCAATAATACAGAGGGTTTCAGAAAAACAAAAGTAAGAGAAAGAAGGGGGGATTGAGAGAGATAGATATGTGTACCTGTGTGCCAGGTCATTTTAGGATGGTCTGTTTTTCTATCCTCTGCTGTAAAGTCTACCTTATTTAAGAGGACTATTTATTGAGAGCTGAGAAGGCTGGTATTCAAAACTGGTTTAATAAAATGGGAGGAAGCATCACTGACTGTCTGGTGTTGGGTTACTAATATACACATTCCAACTTACACTGCAAATTCCCTGTTTCCTCTTTCTC